GGACTGACGGCGGCGGCAGGCTAATGTGGGGAGAGGGCGGAGCCTTACGGTCACGCGCTTATTTATAGCATGACATCATCTGTTTGCACGCCGCAGCCTAGCTTGGTGGAAAGGGAATGGGCGGGACTGGTGGGCGGGGCGGAGCTGGGAGTGGGTGGGGTCTGTGAGGAAGGGAAGGTGGGAGGGGAAGGAATAGTTCGGGTACTTAATGGGCCCCTACAAAGCCCTGAGCGGGTTGCAGCGAGTTGATCTCTGTTGCATTTCCTACTACACCCACTGCTGGTGCATCGGTGACTGGTACAGCATATTATACACGTCCCCCAAGAAAATATCCATGGCATGCTAGCAACTTTGAACTCCCTGTCTTGTACAATACACTGAGGTCTTGCTCAGTTTTTTGTAGGGAACTTAGCCTCATGCAGGAAAAGAGAGGAGAAAGTGCAAAGATTCCTGAACAGCCTTGCATGTGGAAGGTGCTTTATGCTAAAAATAGGTGCATTGTGATATTCAGTATACCACCTTTCTTGGAAGCCTCCCAAAACATTTTACAAGAATTCATAAATAATACTTAACACCACCCCTTTGAGGCAGACTCACTGCACATGCCTAGGGAAGGGGCCATGTCTTCAGATATTTGGGTAAAGGGACATGTTAAATTATAAGAAGATGATAATGAAGTATTAAACAAGTATTATCCCTATATGGGATAACTGAAACATAGACAGGTTAAGTGACTTTGTGAAGATCATATGAGTCAGTGCCAGAGCCAAGAGCAGAACCATATTTCCTGACTCTTTTGAGGCAGCCTGGTGAGATGAATAAAGCACCCACGCAAGTGATCCGGGCTATCAATTCTGCAAAATATCGAGTGAAAAAAAATTAGAGGCTTTAAATTCCTCATTAAATGACATTTGAGCAAAACTCTCCATCATAGAGGTGAAATACTTCAGATATTTGTCTAAAAAAGAATGCATAAAGAAGGACTCTTCCTTTTGTAAGGTTGGCAGGTCTTAGCAACTTAGAATCATTCCACTATAACCTATAAACTGAACTATGACAGTATTGCAAACCCCAATTATTCAACAGACCGCCCTCCCCCAAGAAACCCTGGGATATGGAATAGTCTGCCCATAAGGACATTTTCTTCCTAATCCCCTCAGAGTAAGGTTACCACTGACATCTTTTGCAAATCCCACCCATAGATTTTGTCTAGTTAGATTGCAAACTGTTCAAAGGAGCTGCTGACCCCCCCCTTCCATTACAAACCTCTGTGAAGAATGCTCTAGAACCACGATCCACCTCAATAAATCTAGAATGTGAGTGAATACCATACCAAAAAAAAAAAAAAAAAGCACATAGGTCTGGTTTGAACAGTTTGCAGTCTAACTAGACAAAAAGCCATTGGTGGGATTCTCCAAAGATGTCAGTGATGGCCTAACTCTGCTCCCATTGAAGCCTGTGATAAAATTCCTGTAAACTGAGTCCTTTTAAAAATCCCATTGATGGAGCTGAGGGAATGGATGTAACATGTTAGCAAAGTGAATGAACAGTTTTATGCTTGTCATGTGTAATGTTTATCCCCAGCGACATGTGTCTGTGTTGTGTTGTAATGAGAGATCAATTAAAGATTTGAGGTGAAATATGGGAGAAGAGGTAGAGAATTGAGTTTTAGGAAGGAACTTGACTGACAGAAGTGAGGAGGTCATTAAGTCCTTTGGGCTAAATTTTGGTCAGTTTGCAAGCAGAATTCAGTAGGACTACTTCTGGGATTGTAATAAGCAGCTTCAGCCATGTAACTCTTTTTCATATTAAATATAAAAACTGCAGAGGTTATTCATTGAATTGTTCATTCTTTTGCACAGCAATAAGAAGACTGGAAGTTCTATGCAGAGCTATGAAGAACTGGTGAGCTGTTGTAACTCACTTTGATAAAGACTCTGTGGATGATCTTGTGGTTCAACCCATGGATTGAAATTCAGGAGAACTAGCTTTAGTTCCTAGCTCTGACTACCATAGACTTCCTGTATGACCTCAGAAAAGTCACTTAATCTGTCTGTGCCCCAGTTCTCCATCTGTATAATAGAGATAATGCTAATTCTTGTCTCCTATATTTAGTTTATCTTGTCTGTTTGGAAGGTAAACTCTTTGAGGGATAAACCAGCTCTTACATATAGCACACATATATAGGGCATATAGCATCTAGCACAACGATGCCAATCTCAGGGTGCCCAGCCTGCCAGCATAACTATGCCTCCAATACATTGATAAAGCAGACATAAGTTCTATCTCCTTCCTACCCTTTCTACCCCCTTGCATGTGAAACCTCACCCCACCTCAGGAAGCAAAGATACAGTCCTTAGTGCTTCCACTATTCTCCATTAAAGATGAGTTTTTCATGACAAAATATTTTGTTTCATTTCTTATGAGAGATATTTATTGACATGGAAGGTATGCCAGCCAATTTAGATTTTAACAAAGTCTTATTCATATTTCATAGTGTTTAAGTACAAAAGGGACCATTCTAAAAGGAGATTCTAAATCACTAAGCATTTCAGTCTATGCCAGGATTGTGCCCCGGTAGTTGAAAAGGAAGCTTGGTCTCTAATTATGTGAATCTGGAAAAAATGAAAGTGTCCTTAAACCTAAACAAAAAAAATCAGGACTATGTAGCACTTTAAAGACTAACATGATGGTTTATTAGGTGATGAGCTTTCGTGGGCCAAACCCACTTCCTCAGATCAAATCCTTAAACCTATTCATACTTCTGGCAAATTAACTCCAACTATACAATGCTGGTCTAATTGAAGACTGAAGTATATACAATTTTCTTAAATATGGGGAATATGTTTAAAAATCCCAGTGAATGCTCCAGTCACAGGATAGTCTGTGGGAATATTAGGAGGGAAAGCCTGTCACCTATAGGTCACTGGTTCCAGCCTGTTAACCACTGAAGTTCCATACAGTTTAGTGGCTGCTTAGAGATAAACTGGTGGTCTGAGGTGTTCATAATGTGCCATGATTGGGGATCCTACATGTTTCTGCATTATAAATAATAAAAACTTGTAATTACCTTAATTCTTAGCGGATAAATATCTGTGTCACAACTGTTTCCAGAGACTGAATTACTATAGGTGGCCTCTGCAGACATGCCCACAGAGTCAAACCTTGATGATCTTAGGAAGTCATGTACAGCATTGAAATTTCCCTCCATTGTTGGAATGAATGTTTATCTCAATTAATTCAACGTCCACATTCCAGCAGGAAAACTGAGAGTTGCTTGTATGCATATTAAAATGAACTAAATGTTGTACTTCACATCTAAATTATATCCTATGCCTGTTGCAGTTTTGTCCCCTATAATAATAAAAAACGAGAAAAGACTCCTACTGGGAGCCACTCAGCATTGCAATGAAGCCAAAACACATAATTAGGGCCAAAACCTGAAGGGTATAAATAGTGTTTGGCTGATTGAGAAAGGCTTCCAGGATCAAAGCCTTGCTTTTTTATAACCATTTAAAATCAAATTATTTCATACCCTATTATTAATCCATTATTATAAATAAACATAAATGTGTCGAGCTAATTCTATATTTTTTCTTTTGCCATATAACACGTTCAAAGCAAACCTACTTTTCAACAGGCAATTGTCTATATCTAGAACTTGGGAAGATGCTATTTTTGTATTAAATCAAATGTTCTAAGTAAATACAAATCTGGGCAAGCACTGATACATTTATGTTGCTATGTTATATATTTATGCCTATATTTATGTTGTTAGTTCTATATCTGGTATGCTCTTTGGCTTTGCCAAACTGAAGATGCAATTAATATCTTTCTTTGAGCTATTCAGGACTGGTTTCTATTAAAGTATTAAAGAGGAAGTCAAGTGGAATTATATGCATATTTGTATATATACTTGTCTGAACATGTTCCCCTAGTCACTCAAAGTACAGAATGAAATTTCAAAGAGACACTGTCATGTTATATTTGGCTAAAATATAGGTTTTCTAAAACTGACTTTTACATAGTTTAAAATCAATATAAATAAGTCCATGAATGTAGAACAATTACAATTAAAGCTGTTTTTAAAACAAAAACAAAACAAAACAAACAAACATACATCTATGGTGTTTGCAGCCCAAACGTTACCAGGTAGAATTATTACAAACTGTAAATATTGAAATAATGTGTTAGTAGATAAGCAGTTAAGTGAATATGACTAAAATTAACTGTGAAGAAAAGTCTATTTGCATTGTGCAATATGAGATAAATGCAAAAAGTAAACAAGCAGCATAACGATGATGATAAATTGCACTTTTACAACAATTTCTATATGAGACTAAAAGGACATTATAAATACTAATTAAGTATACCTCTATATTACAGAAGGGGAAACTGATTTATAGAAAAATATGTGACATCTTTAAGATCAGAGTCAATGGCAGAGTGGAGAAATGAAAAAATAAATTGGGATATTCTCCCTCTAATTTTAATAAATTAAGATGTTTTTAGCACAGGCAATGGGCTTTTAAACATTAGATAGTTAATAAGGCAGTGTTTCTTTAAGTCTGTATATAGATTTGCCATGTGGTATAAATATACATGGCCTGATGACACACTCTGAACGTCTTGACTTTCGAGGAGTTAAAGACAGACTATTAACAGAGCATTTGCTGTTGACAGAGCCAGATCTATCAGATAGCACGGGTTTCTGTAGTAGCTTGGAAACTTGCCTCAGCCCCCCTCCCCCTTCCCCCGCTTGCGGCTTAGCTCATCAGCCCTCCCTGTGGGCGGGATCAAGCTGCTGTATGGTTAGGTTGAGTCTAGCTGCGTGCGTCTATAACTTTGTGTTGCTTGCTGGTGCTGCTGGTTAGAAGGAATGTGGAAGTCAGTAGAGTGCAGGGTGACGGGCTGGTCGGGCGAGCTGCAGCAGCGCAGCATTATTTCCCCCTGGCAGATCATTTGCTTTCCCCCGTCTGTTCACAAAGGTACCGTGCGGTTTTTTGCTTTCTCCTCCTTTGCCTTTAAAGGGAAGGCGACTCGAAGCTGAAGACGCAGCAGCAGGAGAATCAGGAAACCATGCACCAGCGCTGTTTTTTCCTCCTGTGAATCTGGATCTTTATTTTTGCTGGAGGGTAGAGATTGCTGCTGGTTCTTCCCCTCCACTCCTTCCCCTGCCGATGTGGCTTTCTCTGTCTCTTTTGCCAGCGTTTTTTAAATGACTTGAGCGAAAGGGGGGAAAACTGTCAAGATGGCAGCAGCAGGAGCAAGGAGGTTATGAATGTGGTGTTGATGCTGGAACAAAACCCATCCTTTTGGCAGCCCTAAGGAGGGCTTAAAGCTTCTGGACCTGTTGGAAGACTGGTGATTTGATTTGTTTTTGTTTTGCTCTCCCCGTAAGAAGGATAAAAAACATCCAGAGTGGCGTTTTTTTTATCCTATTCGGTTGGTTGTGAAATTTATTTTTATATATAGATATATTTTTTGGATAGTGGAATGCATAACTACGACAAATGCTAGTGTGCAATTGGATGTACATGGAGACTTCAGCTCCCTTCGGGGCATTTTGAAGGAGGTAAAAGTCATCAGTGTGATCTGAGGGACCCTTGCCTGTTTCCCCCGGACACAGAGAGAAAAGAAATAAGGAAAACGTCTGCTAGGGCAGCCGGGAGCGTGGTGGAATTGGAGGGGTCTCTCTCCGATCATGGATACAGCGTGATTGCCAGTAGAGCACTTCTGCAGCTGCATGGAGTGAAACATAAACAAACACACACACACCACTGAGCTGCACCAACTCCACTACGTTTGAGCTGCTGCTGGAGCCATCCCCTCACCCTTCCCGATCCATAGGCGCATCTGGAATCTCTGGCCTCACCCGATCCCTTATTGATCGCTTTGTGATTATTATTATTTTGTGTGTGCGCGCTAGCGTGTGTGAACTGTCTGCTGGAAGAAGGGGGCGGGGAAGGGAAGGCAGGAGGCTGCAGGACTTTAATGGAGAGTGGCATGTTCACTCGCTCCCCCCTGCCTGCTAGGAACTGATCCGCTGGAGCAGGGGACTGGGGTCCGGACCTGTCTATCCCATCCCAGCACCAGGAGCAGCAGCAGCAGGAGGAGGCGGGGAAGCCAAGATGGCAGAGGCGTCTTCTCCTGCCCCCCTATCGCCCCTGGACGTGGAGCTGGACCCCGAGTTTGAGCCCCAGAGTCGGCCACGCTCCTGCACCTGGCCCCTCCAAAGGCCTGAGTTGCAGGCGAGCCCGGCCAAGCCCGCGGGGGAAGCGGCTGCGGACGCCGCCTCCATGATCCCCGAAGAGGAGGATGACGAGGAGGAAGGGGGCAGCTCGCCCATGGCCATAGGCAGCGCCGTGCCCACCGGCGGCGGAGGGGAAGCGCTGGCCCCCGAGGAGGCGGCCCGGCTGCTGGCCCCGCTCTCCGGGGTTGGGACGGAGGGCTCGGGCAAGGCTTCTGGGCCAGCGGCTGCGGGGGGCAGCGGGCTGAGCGGGGGCCAGGCAGCTGCGGCGCCGCGGAAATGCTCGTCGCGGCGAAACGCGTGGGGCAACCTGTCCTACGCCGACCTGATCACCCGCGCCATCGAGAGCGCCCCGGACAAGCGGCTCACCCTGTCCCAGATCTACGACTGGATGGTGCGCTGCGTGCCCTACTTCAAGGATAAGGGCGACAGCAACAGCTCGGCCGGCTGGAAGGTGAGGGCTGGGGAGTCTCGGGGGCAGAGAGGGGGTCGAGGGGCCGGGGTATCCCGCTTCCCCCGAGCGCAGAGCGCCCGGGAGGCGAGGAGAGAGGGGGCGAGGTATCCGGGAAGGGGAGGGCTGTGGTGCACGGGATGCTGTGGGGAGCAAGGGTTTGGGTACCCCGGGGCAGGAGTGGCTCGTAGATGGAGGCGAGGGCGGCTCTCAGGCGGGGGTGGAGGCGCGGAGAGGGTGCCCGGGGAGAAGCGTGGCGGTGCTGGCCCGCGTTCCGCAGGCAAAGCCCGCAGCAGGCCCACGCCCGTCACCCGCGACGCCCTGGGC